TGAGCCAGGCCCCTCCTACTGTACCCTTCCCTTTGATGGGTGGTAGCTGGGCCTGCTCAGGCAGGCTGATGAACCAAACGGCCTATAGATAAGAGTTTACACCGACCGTACTACAGCAAGTACCTATTGGTTATCTCCATTCTGGGTTGAGTGGCTCAGGCAAAATCTAGACCATGTTCTTTAGATCCTTTTTTTTTTTTTTGGTACCGGGGATCGAACTTGGGCCCTTGCACTTGTGAGGCAGGCGGCAGAACCACTGAGCTAAATCCCCGGCCCAAAGGACCATGTTCTTTAATAAAGCCAAGAAGAGATGAGAGACTGAACAATATGGTCTCTTCCACTCAACTTCCCTGGCCAACAGGGGAAAGATCTGAAAGCCTTTGATGCTGCCGTGGTGCTCTTCTGTGCAGACAGGTGTGGTAACTGAGGCACCCCACTTGTCCAAACCCCTAGTCATGATCCCAGGAGCTATGTGGAGCCTCCATGACTATGCACAGATTTGGCACTTTCAGCTTCTTACCAGGGTGCCTTCCTGGCTTCCACTCCCACACCACATGGGAGGTCTTTTAAGAGACTCTTTCAGACCTACACATTCACAGCATATCCACAACTTCAGGCAAAAGGAATGTGAGAATTAGAGGTAACACCTTGGTCCTCTCTGCTGCAGAAAGTACCCATCAGAGAGTAGTTTTCAGTGCCCAGAAGCTTGGAGCTCCCCTACCTTCTCATGTCCGATTCAGTTTCATTCTAGGTGGCTCAATGATAAAACTACTGCACATTGCCTTGGCAACATGAGCATTTGCTAAAAGAAGAAAGAAATTCTGAGATTTCAAATTATCTCTCTGCAGGTCCCACACACTAATTTAGGAAATATTTTTAAAGGCAATAGATAAAAATATCCTAGAAATAGTAATAGGAAGTATTTCATGTGAGTTGACATTCATGAAATATGTAAGGGTTGTTTTTTAATATGAATCAAAGAGTTTTGGTGCTATTAATGTTTCTTAGTTTTCACCATTAAAATATTTCTGCTCTAACTCTAATGCTATATTTAGTCTTCTAGTAACATCTTGAAATGTTTGCACATTGGAATTGCCCATAAACGAATTTATATATAATTAAAGAAAATAGATTACTCTGAGAAAACCCTAATTGTACATTTGAAAACAATACAAGATTAGTGCTTGTAGACTATAGTGTATTAGATTTTTGTTTTTTGGGGTTTTTTGGTACCGGGGATGGAACTCAGGACCTTGCACTTTCAAGGCAGGCACCGGAACCACTGAACTACATCCCCAGCCCTAGTGTATTAGATTTTTAAATGCAAGGTTATAGGGCTGGGGATGTAGCTCAGTGGCCCCATGCCTGGCTGCCAAGTGCAAGGTCCTGAGTTCAATTCCTGTTACTGAAAAAAAGAAAGAAAAAAAATAAAAATGCACGGTTAAAAGTCAAGAAATTTTTTTTTTTTGGTACCAGGGATCAAACTTGGGTCCTTGCACTTGTGAGGCAGGCAGCTGAACCACTGAGCTAAATCCCCAGCCCAATAAATGAATTTGGTGTTTGTTTTGTTTTGGTACCGGGGATTGAATTCAGGTCCTTAGCTTGTGAGGCAGGTGGTGGAACCACTGAGCTAAATCCCCGGCCCAAGAATTTTTGAATACTTATTGTAGGTTCCTAACAAAACAAACTATAGCCTCATAATTTGGCTATTTGTTATTTGCATTCCACTTCAATATTTCTGTAGTTTTGCCCTTTTTTCCCTTCCATCAGATTCTGTTGGCAAATGAAAGACAAAGGATATGAAAAAAATTTTTAAACTGAACCTAAATACTAAGAGATAGCAGATCACAGAACAGCTAAACACCACAAATGGATACGCAGCATTGTTTTCATGTTTCAATTTGTTGGCCAGAAATTACCTTTAACAATTATCTCAGTGTTTGCCCACAATTTAGGAAGTCAGGATGGCAGCTATCCCAAGAAGTGAGAACAGGACAGGACCCGACAGGCCCTCCTCTCTGTTGAATTATGAGAATATCTAGAACATGCTTGGGGCACAAGGCCAAAGTCCAAACGCTTCTTCACCCTATAATTAAACCATTGCTATTGTGATCAAATTCTCACCTACAAAAGGAGCCTCCGAAGAACTTCATAGTTTATGTGATTTCAAATGGAATGTTCTCCTGAATTATTGACCTCTATGAGTATTCAAGAATTAAAGCTTTATCTTGGTTTAGTTTGTTTTTCACTTATAAAGAATATTACACAGCTAACCATAGACTTCGCAAGATACATGATGGTATCCATGTGATTTTTTAAAGGGTAACAAGTTAGCTACAGAGTTTGAAAGCCTAAATAATTATGCAAAGAGCTCTTATCCTTCATTTGATATACAGTACCTCTTGTCTGCTTATCCTAGGTCCAGGAGGATAGCTGTGAGCAAAACAAAGTCCCTGCTTTCATGAAGCTTTTATTCCATAGGGAAACGAACACTAAACAACCAAGGAAAAGGTGTGTGGCAAAGTTAATTGCTGTGGAGGAAAACTGAGCTGACTGGGAGCTGGTGAGGGACTCGGTGTGTGCAAGGTCTCGTATAAGTGACAAGTCCACGTGTGCCCAGGGACCTGAAGATGTGAAGGAATCTAGAACACTGTTATAGAGACTCATTGTTTAATCTCCATGATGGTACTACAAGTATTTTTATCATTCTTATTTTACAGATCAGAGAGTTGAGGTGTAAAAATATAAAGCAATGTGCCTAAAGCCATACAACTTACAAAAGGTAAGCTAATATTCAAACCTAGATCTTTTTCACGCACAGGTTTTTTGGGTTTTGTTGTTTGTTTTGTTGGTGGTGCTAGGGCAGTGATGCAAACCTTTTAGAGCTTTCAGTGATATAAACAGCCTGCTGCAGCACACACGCCCCAAGTTCGACACCACTGTGCTAGGGATTGAACCCACGGTGCACACACTAGGTAAGCACTCTACCGCCAAGCTACATCCCCATTTCATTTTGTTTTACTCTATTCTGAGAGGGGATCCTATTAAGTTTCTCAGGCTGGACTCGAACTTGTGATCTTTCTGCCTCAGCCTTCCTAGTAACTGGGATTATCGGCATGTGCCCCCTCACAACAGGCTACAGGGTATGTTTTTAATCACCTTTCTTCTATCAGATCACCCAACTACCCACTATCAAGACTTCTATGCGCTCAATTATTGGAACCTACCTAATACAAAAGGTCAACATCACACTTTAAATTTTTAATTTAAGAGGAAAAAAGTAAGTGAGGTTAGGTTCACTGAAATGAATGAGAAAAAACCTTCTCCATTCCTTGGTGAGAGATCAACACAGAGGCAAAGCTGGCTCTTCAGGCACACTTGTACACAAACACACATGCGGGATGCCCCAGCTGACCCTGCAGATGGCAGGTGCTGGAATCATCTCTTGAATCAGCTGACCAGAGGAAGCCATGAGGACTGAAAGCAGGAGGGGATGAGGGAGGGACCAGGGAAGGAAATTGTTGTTTGACGTCTATTATCATTTAACCTTCACTTCATCCCTGTTCTCAATTAAATCTCAGCACCAGGGTCGGGTATTCGCTTCTAGTTCAATAACTGAGCTTTATACAGGTGCGATTTACCTAAAGGCTGGCCCTGTGTGGGAAAGGAATGGCTTCCCAGCTGGCCACCCTCATTCTCCCACTTCAGGACATCCCACAGGACCTTGCCATCTGGCCTGGTGAGAAAGGATGGCGGAACGACCGACCACCACTCAGGTGTCCCAGCTTTTAGTCCCTTGGGTCCCTCTTCTCTCCCTGGATCCTCATATAAAACAAGAAGCCACATAGCTGTGCACTAGGTATAAGGATCCAGGGGCACGGGGTGGGGAGGAAATGGGGAAGGAGGAAGCTGTCTTCTCTTGCCACTCCAGCCCACAGTAGGTGGGACCTGACGGCAACTGAGTGATTTGAGGGAAGGTGAACTTACAAACCCAAGCCATCAAAGGGAAGATTATCTTACTTAAAACCACAGATGATCTTTTTCTTTCTGCCCCTCAAGTCCAGAGGAAAATCAGGATGAGTGGTTCAGGTTGTAAACCTTAAGGTCAAGGACCCTTTCCATCGTGCTTAGCTCTCGAGTTCTAGTATCGGCTGCGTGTGGAGCATAATTAATAGCATCATAAATACCAGCCGTAGAAGGTGTGGGTGGAAGTCGGAGGCCCCTTCCGTAGGTCCCACAAAGAGCCTGTCATCAAGGCCTTAATCAACGTCACCTATTAAAGAGCATCCCTGCTGAAGCCAGCCTTCCAGCCTCTCCTGGGGTTCCTCTGCCTGGGTGCGGAGTGCGCGGGTACAGTGTGTGCGCTGCGGACCCAGACGCGCGGACGGGGAGGAACATAGGCTCCGGGGCTGAGTCTGTGCAAGAAGCACGCAGCCCACCAAGGGAAAAATTTCTACAAGTCTTTGGTGTCACGCGTGTCATCTTCTTGGCACCGTTTCCTCCCGTGGCCCTTTCTGCCCGAGCACACAGCCCTCCGCGGCCCGCAGGTCCAACAGAACCAGTCACAGGTCGCGCAGTCGGGCCGGAAGGACCAGCGTGCGGCTCCGGGCACCAGAGCCCCACCCAGAGGAGAAGTGCCGCTCCGGCGCACCTGTCCGCGGGCAGGGCGGGCCTCCGGCGAGCAGCGGGACCTCGGCCTCCAGGGAACCCGGCACGCCGGACCCGTAAGGACCCTGCCAGGTGCGCGACCCCGGCGGGTTGCACGGCCCGCGTTCGGCGCTCAGGCTGCCCAGCCCCTCGCTTGGCCCAGCGCCCGCCCCCCCCCCCCCCCCCGAGTGCGCGCGCCCAGACCGCGCCGCGACCCGAGCCCCCAGGACGCGCTTCCCAGGGTCCAGGCCTCACTCCGGAGAAGGGGCGGGGAAGAGGGCGGTGCTTGCAGCAGTGGGTGGGACCGGGCGCCGGTGGGCGGGGCGGGGGCGGGGCGGGGCTGGGGCGGCAGAGCAGAGCTCCCGGCTCCGCGGCGGCTCGGCCCGCAGGTCCCGGTCAGGCCAGCGGCTCTGTCCCCCGCCTACGCCATGGCAGCCGCCGGGTCCCAGGCCGACTGCGGCTACATCCGGACCGTCCTGGGCCAGCAGATCTTGGGCCAGCTGGACAGCTCCAGTCTGGCGCTGCCCTCCGAGGCCAAGCTGAAACTGGCGGGCGGTGGCGGCCGCAGCGGCCAGGCGGCCAAGAGTCTGCGGATCCAGGAGCAGGTGCAGCAGACCCTGGCCCGGAAGGGGCGCAGCCTCGTGGCTAACGGTGAGTGCGGCGCGGACCCGGTCCGGCCCACCTGTGGCTCCTCGCCCTCTGCGCCCCGCGCCCGCCTGTGGGCGCCGCCCGGAGCCTCTGTGCCGGTGTCCTCCGTGGGACCGGTGCAGGCTCAACTCGCGATCTGTGTCTGGGGGCCCAGAAGAGTTCACCTCCTGCCCCCAGTACTCCCTACCCTCCGTCCGGTACCGAGACTCGACTCGGAGACTCTGGGAGCCTGCACACACTGAAATTCCGTGCAGAATTTTCCTGTGCAGGATCATTTTATTCTGGAGAAAGAACCCCGAGCATTTATTAGATATTTTAAGAGTTCATGTCCTCCTAAATATATTTGAAAAAGGAAACCCGAAAGCACCTAGCACCTGTGGATTGGGGTAGTGCCGGCTCGCCCAGGTACTTCGGGCGCTTCGCCCCGTGTGCGGCCCGGTGGCTGATCTGGAAGCCAACAGGTTGGGCCGGAGGCTCTGGCCGGGCACCGGCACCGTCTCACCACCCCGCGGGGGAGGAGGAAGAGGTCGGGGAAAAGGAAGGGGACTTTGGCCGGGCTAGCAGCAGCTGCGCCCGCCTGGCTGTGGCGAGCGGGCCGCGCGTCCCCACCAGCCCCCGCCGCCGGTGCACGCGTGGGTGCAAGGCTGGGCTTTCTGAAACATGAACTTCAAGATGAAGGGGTTCACTTGCACAGGCTCGCGGGATTTTTAGCCGTCAGTGAACAGGGCGATTGGGGGGGAGATGGCAATCCAGTTAGGAAAACTGGAGCTTGAAGAAGTGTTCTGTGCAGTACTTTTATAATTACTATTATAAAGCACATAGGCCTACCACAGAGAAAAAGGTAAGGAAATTGAAGATGGGATAAGTTTGTTTCTCCAATGTTTGATCTGTTTCTGTAGAAAGTAGCTTGGGCAATGGCCAGTGTAAAACCCACTAGGAAGTAAAATGCTGACAGGCCAGGCCTATATACGACAGTCGGGGAGGCTGCTCTGTGTTCGGTTGGCATGAAAGAATCTAAGGGATCAGCCAGTTAGTAGTCACACAGTGGGGAAGTAAAGCAAAGATATTTAGTGATTGTAAGCTTATATAGCTGTTCCTGCAAGCGCAAGGTCCCGAGTTCAATGCCAGGTGCCCCCCAAAAAGCGTATATAGTATAGCTGAATACCTACACTATGTGCCCAGAGTTGGACTATGTAGTTTGCATTCATTGTATCGTTTTTTAAAAGTGCAAGCTAGATATTTTAACTGCCATTTTACAGGCAAGGAAACTATATAAGTAATACTTAAATTCCCCCATGTAGTAAGTGCAGAATTGGTATTTAAAATCCAAAATCTGTACTTTTAAACCATTAATTGTATCGTTAAGTTTTTGGTTTGTTTGTTAAGTGGCATTTCTTAGACCCTAAGCCTCTTTCAGTTTTCCCATAAATGAAATTGAGGAAGTTCTGAGCGCATGGAACGGGCTGAAAAGCACAGAACTGTCCACAGGAGCACAAGACCCTGTCTCTGGCTTTGGGAGTCTGGCTAAAGACTGCAGAATGATGACTCAGCCCCATCCTTTGGGCCAGTGGTGTGCTGGCACCTTGAGTCTGAGCACCCATGGGTCTACTGCTATAAACCAGCTTCCTCTGCTTGGGAAACCCAGGATGCAAATTAGATATTTTTTTCTTACTATATGAGAGTGGCCAGCCTGAACGAGCAAGCAAGCAGACGTCAACAATTAAACAGATGGGAGGAACGAAGGGTCCATGAAGGAATGGGGGAGCACTGCTGAGCATCTACGATGTTCCTGACCCTGTTGTAGAATTTCATGTGTCTGCCTTTCATTATATCCTGAAAAGAGTTGGATGAGAGAAGAGGATCCTGTTCACATGTGAAGTATATATCTCATTATTTGTTGAAAACTCACTCCCAGCCCCACACATGATCTGTCTTCTCTACAATATAGTGTACCAGCTGCTAGGCAAATTCATCAACATCAGATGGGTGTGTTCTTTCTGCAAGGCACTGTGCAGGTGCTGAATTAAACACACAGACTTGGCTTGCTTTTAAAAAGGAAAAAATTGAAAGCCTGAAGCTAGAAAAAAATGTATCACCAAATAAAAAATAGTAAGCAACCCAGAAGAACAGCTAAGACATGATGGAGTGTAGAAGTGCTTACTATAAGTTACTCCCAGCTGAGGGAATTTTTAAGTTTCATGGAGGAATTGAGATTTTAAATCTCAGAAATTCAATGGAATTGGACTTGCGGGGTGGGGGTTGTATTCTAGGAGGAAACAACATAATATTTCATCGTTCACTAAGTCGATGTGCTAGAACAAAGAGCACTATCTTGGTGCTTCTGCTCAAATGCTTGGGGCAACAACCTGTGAGCCTCTTCCAACTAAAGAGCAAAGCGTTTAAAATATTTTGATTACAGCAGCAGCTTCAGGAGCAAGCTGAAATACATTCAGTAGCCTACACAGAAGTACAACTTGGGCAGAGATAAGGCAGCAAATAACACCTACTTACTTTAAAACCTCAGCTTTCTGAGACTCAAAAAAGAAAATCAGTTTCAAAGGAATTGAACATCAGCATGCCTTGGAACAGCTATGGGGTTTTTCACATAAGGTGTTTAAAGTTCTTTAAAAAGGTTTGGGCACTTGTGAGTGTTATTTGGTTGTATTTTTTTATTATTTCCTTATTCCTGTCTAAAGTTGAAAGAGACAAGCAGTTGTTGAAATAGTGCTGGTCTGGAAAGAATCCTGTATCAACACAAGAAATTCCAGGAAGAAATGAGCCTGTTGTTAACTGCTGTTGGCTCCAGAGTTCTGGAGAATTCTGAACTGCTGACATACCTATAAGGCTGAGGGAGCAGATAATCTGCTAGAGATGAGATATGTGCAGTTGATTTGTTGAGAAACTCTTTGCCAGGGTCTTTAACCCTGCAGTTCTTTCTAATTCTCTTATATAAGTGGGTAGTTTTCATTGTAAATCATTAATTGACTTTTAGTACCAAACTGCATTGAACATTTTAAAGATGACTATAATGCTTGGGTGAGGGAAGGTTGAAAGATGTATAGCCACATTGTAAAGTAAGTCGCTATTGTAGCAAAACTTTTAAAATCTTTTATACAAGTCACAATAAAGACACTTAAGAATTGCAAGTCATAGCAAAGGGAAAAATAAAAAACTCCACATTCTGTTTGTTGCATCTTGGAAGCTCTACTTATTACACACACACACACACACACACACCATACCTAAGTAAGAAGAAAGACATGTTTTTAATTATGGTATGTAATAGTTATATAATGGGCAATATTCTAATGCAATTCACAACTTGTTTGGAAATCTGTCAAAAATGACATACTATTTATATGTATGATTTTCTGGTAAATCAGTTTTGAGTGTCTGATAAGAGTGAATTCTGGAGAGTGGAATGAAAATTGATTCAGGACAGCAAAACAAGCAGTAGGTGCTACTGGAAACAAACCAAAAAAGGTATAGACGTTATTCAAAGAGTTCATTGCAAAAAAGGAATTCCAGGAATGAAGCAATTCTGGGAGAGAGGCGATTAGTCATTCAGAAAGTAGGCAGGATCAGGAAAGAAAAAAGAGTGAGGTGGCAGGCAAAGGCCACGCATCCCTGAGGGTAACAAGTCAGTGGTGACTCTGTGTCCTGATACAGCCCATGGGCCACTGTTTTAGTGTCAGGGAAAGTAGGTACTTTATTTATTTCCATTTGGTTTTTTGAGACAGGGTCTCACTGTGTACTTAAGGCTGGCCTTGGACTCACAGTGATCCTCCTGGCTCAGCCTCTGAAATGCTGGGATTACAGGTGTGTACCACCAGGCCCAGTTTGGGTACATGTAACTTTTTAAAAAGTGTGGTGTTTTGTTTCTGTTTTAGAAACTCTTCTGATTATAGTTAGGTGAAATAGAATGCTAGCAAAATGGTGATTACAAAAAATAGATCTCTTACCCCTACAAACTGTGAGAACACATCTTTTACGGGTAAAGTTTTAGGTGAATGCGTGGTGAGGATGCTTCAGAATCAGTGGAACTGTAAGAAACCACAGAGACTCAGTAACTGAAATTTGATGTTGGAAACACAGGTACATGGCTCGCTGTACCTTGGTTGAAATGCAGAACCGCGCCTTAAACAGAAGACCGCTAGGGCTGGGGATTTAGCTCAATGGTTCTGCCGCCTGCCTTGCAAGCGCAAGGACCAGAGTTCAATCCCCAGTTCCAAAAAAAAAGAGAGAAGACCCCTTCTCACGTCACCTTAAACAGACTGCTGCCTGTGTCCTGTGCACGGCCAGGAGAATGGGCGGAGCCCCCTTGAATTAAATATTCTAGGCATTTGTGCCCAGCACATTCTCTCAAAGAGTCATTTTGAATACTAGCTATCCGATTTTTTTCTCATGTATTAAAATAAGCCTATATGTGCTTATTTTATCTTCAGATAATTTAACACTGATTTCGTATTAAAATTGAATTTCTGGTCTGATGAATAAAAATTATTAAAACTTTTTATGTTTCTTCTGCGAGCACAAACATACAGGTATTACTGCCAACCTGTCTTTAATAGTTGTGAAATACAGTAGCAAATATGTTGCTAAAAGCTCTGGAGTTTGCAATCAGACTTGATTAAGGAGGCCTGTAAGATTATTTCGTTCTATCCCAAATGATTTTCAAGAATTTAAAATTTTACAATATGAGATTATTGTGGGGTGCCAGCTATTTTATACATGCATATAAGTATATTTGGGCATAAATCCCATCCTGCTCCTGGGGAAGTAAACAGTAAAAGACAACAATGCAAGTGAAAAATAGAACATAAATTAGAAGGAAACTTAATTTTTCTATTAAAATGAACCACCTTGTTCCTCTAACTTACTAGGTTAAGTATAATGGGAAGACTATAAGATCTGACTACTGATGCAGACTATAACCTCTTAAACTGAACATTAAAATTGTAAATCTTTTGTATATCTTGGGTATTGGCCAAAAAAAAAGTAAT